CAGTGGGAGAAAAAAAATCCTATTTAACCTTGGGAGGGCAACATATTTTCTTTGGTGTGGTTCACATTCATTTTCTGAAAGCATGACCCTGAGCATTGCACATTGTATGCCCACTGGCTTTGTCACTGTGAACCAGTGGCAGAGTCTGAGTGATATGGCAGGTTTCTCAAAATGTAATAAGCATCTTTAATACCAGAGCTCCTTTTTCTCCTTACGTATGTGTCAGTGGCGCACTATTTGCCTCTGACAGTTGCAGTGGGGAACAAGACGGAAGTTGCATATATCTAACAAAAGCCATTTAAGAATTGGGAAGGGAAGCAGGGATACAAAGAGAGGAGGGCACAGCATCCTGCAGCAGTGGAGGCACAGGGGAAGGCCAAAAAGCCTGTTTAAAACAAAGCTGCACGCAGCTGTTGCCAGGAGCAGAGCAGAGAAATGAGCAGCCACAGCTGAATGCTGGAGGAGGACAAACAGCAGCACCGGGTACAGGTCTGCAGCACAGATCGAATGTCAGGAGCCTTATAAGAAGTTGCCATCAATCAAAACTAAGTTCCTAGCGTGTATGTAGCTGGTGGTACCAGGCAGCACTGCTTGAGCTTGTGCTTGATAAACTCCACACTTCAAGTGTTCAGTTTCACAGTGTGTTTTGCTTATACGTTGTTGAAGCGCTGCCTATAGTTCAGATAGTAAATGTGGGCCACTCATCACTGTGCAGCACTCCACTTGGTGTCCCAGTGCTTGTGTGGTGCCGCAATTGTCTCATCAACACATCATTCTGCCCTCATTGCTGTTTCCAGGCATATAACGGCTTTAGTCCACCTTTTTTCTTGCATTCTTTTGGTCTGCCATCATGGTTACATTCATCTGCTCAGATACGCTTTTAGCAGTCTTGAGATGTTTCTCCATACTACTTCCTGCACCTCTGCTCCTTCTCAAATCATTCACAGGTTATAAACAGGGGGATGGGATCACTGTCACCACTTGCCTTCCCTCCTACAACAGATGTCACAGTGCTGCCCTGAATCAGTCCCTGGAGGGAAATATTTTCAGTTATCACTTTCCAGTAACCGCAGAACCAACTACAAATTAACTCTGTGGTTTGTAGTATGGTATACATAAACATGCTTTTCTCTGTCACTTTCACAGACCTTTCAGAAGTGATCAATAGGCCCCATGAGTTCCTAAATACTGCTTGTAACCATTCATCTGACTTTAGGAAAGCATTAAATCTTGACTTTTGAATCTTGAATTTTTTCAGTGAAGAAGAATACACAACAAATTTGATACTTCCATGGCTTGCCACACTTCAAAACATGCCTATTAATTTTAATTGTAATTGCCTAGACCCAACTTTCACCACGATATGTCCCTCTTTAAATAAACACCAGAGGATTCACATGGTAATGCACAAAGATCTCGGGGTTTGCTATTTATTCACCATAATAGCCAGTGTTTTAAGGGGTGAGCATACAACACATCCGTGCTCCATGAACAAACTGTGTGACACAGGAGCATCTTGCCAGCCAGCAAGTGATGATGGTGACAGCTGTAGCCCATTGACTTCCTTGATAATCCATCCCCCATGATCTTTCCTGCACCAGTGCTTTCTAGAATTAACAACTTCATCCAGTAACCATAAATGTATTTACTCCCCATGTTCTCTCTATAGCCAGCGAAAAGAAATGTCAGAAGACAATTAATCCCTTCGCAGCACAGACACCTAAAACCAATAAGCTAAACTGCCCTCTGATGACACCCCATCCTCTCTACGACAACCAGAACCTATGGGACTGGCTTTCACCAGGCATATCCAGGAGACTCAAATAAGGTCAGATAGATGCCACGGGCACTGAGTAGATCTACCACTGGCTGTTTTAAAACATCAGCTATGCCAGCTCTCAGCTTTATATTTCTACCACATCTACACATCTACTTCCATATAACACCATCAATGTAAATTAGTCTACTGCTCCCCCAAGATTTCTGTCATCTGCAGAAGTCATGACTAATGACTGTGTTTTCCTCAGGTCGTTGTTGAAAACACAAATCAATTCAGAACCAAATATTAGCCAGAGTGGGGCCCTCCTGCAAATAGCCAATTTAATGGTGTTTCCCTTTTTATCAAACATTTTAAATCTTTCATTTAATGCATCTTGAAAACATTTAGTATGCGAGCCTTTCATTTCATGTGATTTGCATTGCGATACCAAGTAAAATGCTGTATGAAAGCTGTAATTTGATGCAATACTGTTTGTCAACCAAATTTCCAAGTTAGCACAAGATTTTCTAGGTTGATTAGCACTAATTACATATATTTTTATCTGTATTAATTGAACCTCATATTAACTGTTATACTATTTTACCAGGATCTGTCATAATGACAGATTTGTAATCAGAGGTCATCACACACATCCATACATCCTTTTAAGCAGTAAACATGACTTATGTAGAACCTCATAAAGAAATCTTTATAGAATTCTTTAAATTCTCCCAGACTTCTAGAACAAAGTTTAGCCAATGTACTGGGATGTTCTCCACGAAGTGAAGTTCCAGTGACCTGCTCTTAAAACTGAACATAAACCAAACTTCTCATCCTTTTACATGAGATTCTATGACATTTCCTTATAAAGGTACTTTTTTAGGTTTTAGTGGGTTTAGTGCTTTTGAAAGTAAGTTGAAAAGCTGTAGTATCAGCCAGTGTAGCACAGACTCATTTTACAAAGGCCCATCAGTGCCTGCCAGCCTTCCTGCTCCATTCCAAAATCCTTCTGATGTACAAGTGTATATCAAATGTACAAATCAGGGATTTCTGATAGTGGGACTAAAAGAATTACCTGAGCGAGACAAATAACACTGACTGGATTTCTTCTGACCTGAGAAAAAGACTTGAATCCTTCTGCTGCAAAAATATTCTCAGTTTTAGAGCAAAGACAGCAGCATCCCATGCTTTGCAAAGGGAGGGTGAGAAACATTCTTTGAGAGTATGATAGGAGTTATACACAACTCCTCTTGAGAAATATCAAAGCCACGGGTGCTGGAATCCACTTGGTTGTTTTCATCACTGTCTAATTTATGAGGCCCCATGCTGTTTTGCTTGAGAGTTCTCTAAGCAACAAGTACACTCAGCTGTACCTCTGCTGCACTAATGGGAACTTCATCTCAAGCACCACAGCAGTATCTATGCTTAAAAACAAACAAACAAATAAACCCAAACAAACAAAAAACCAACAAGCAAACAAACAAACAAACAAATAATAGCTGTAGAATACCTCAGTTCTGTGTCCTGGTCAGCCTGAGGAAATTCAGACTTGTCTATATCAAGCCAGGGAGCACGTTAAAGAACTGCGGGCCAGTTTTAGGACAAAGCCTGCTCCTTGTGCGTTGAAGCTGACCTGCACAGCCAAGGAGACATGGGGACAGAAAATGACCAGAAGGTATGAGTTTCATGTAATATGAATTTGTATGGGTAAAGACGGCCGCAAGAGGAAGAGCCTTGGAAACAGCACCCTTTCCTGACTGAGTTATATAGTGCTCAGATACTGACTGCCTTTTTGCCTCCTGGGTAAGGGTGATCTAACATTCCTCCTTTTCCTCCTTAGCCACCTCCCAAGGGCTTCAATATGTCCCAGGAGACTGCAGGGAGCTGAGTCACAGCCTGAGGGCACTGGGAAGGACTCCTCAATGTAGTGTGCTCAGGGCAGTGGCTCCACTCCTCATTTTAGAAAGAGGCTGCAGTCAGAAGAGGGACAGGTAGCTAGGATCCAGCTGACGTTTTCTGCAAGCTCCTTGCATTGTACTGGGAAATGAGCTGACGTGGACAAGATGAACAGAAGACATCTTCAGAGCTCCCCATCTTCACCTTCCTCTTACTCTGCATCTATTGGACAGTCGGATTGGCCAATTTCCCACTGCCTGCCCATCTCTCCCAAACTGGGCACCTAAAGCACAGGCACACTGTCCACGAGTGAAGCACTGCTGGAGCCTTCCCACCGCCTTCCACATGGGAACTGGGTTAGGTTTGCTGCCAGTTTGAGTGAACATGAAAGGGATAAAAACCACAAATTATGCAGAACAGAATTGCACCCTACCAGTTCCTTAAGACATGCAAGATGTTTCAGTTCCATTGTTATACTAGCATGCTTTTGGAGAAAATGTTTCATACAGCCAGAGGCACCCGCTGTGAGCAACAGGCTTCGTCCCATCGTCCCGATATGGCTCTGTATCGACTATTCTGCGAGGTGTTGTTTCATGTGGAAGGGTCTGACAGCATGTTGCCCATAGTCGGAATGGCTGGGACAGTGTGAACTGCCCTAAGGAATAACCTGAGTAGGTAAGGATTTATCAGGGAGCAGTGAAAATCCAACTTTTTTCTTTTGTCTGCACTTCACTGTATTGTAGTTAATGGAAGGAAAACAAGCACTAAAACAGCAATGTGATCATGGCCCGCTCACAGACCTTTGGTTCAGACCTACTCTCGTCCAGGCTGTAACGCAATCAAAGGCAGACTCCATTTATTCAGGGTCTAAGCAGGTAACCTTTTATGAAAAGCTTCGGACAGTGCTCGGCATGACGGAGGAGCCCGTTCATTTCTCCCGGGGATACGTGCTGTTCTCCTTCAGCTAACGTTACTCCTCAACACGCTTCCACTCTTGGGCTCCGTCGGTCTCCTGCCCCATGCCACAGCCCTCCTGCGGGTGCCGGGACAGCCCGACACTTCACCCGGCCCGGAGCCGCCGCGCCCATCTGCGGGCCCGCGCCCGGCTCCCCGCCGCCTCCCTTCTGCCCCCCGGCCGCCCCCCTCCCTCGGAGCCTCCTCTCCCCCCGGCGGCGCCGGGCCCGCCGCCCGCTCCCGCCGCCCCACACCCCGGCGGCGGCTGCAGCCGAGCGGAGCGCTGCGCGGGGGCGGTGCGAGGCGCGGAGCTCCGCCGCGGCGGCCGCAGGGGAGCGCGGCTCCGCCTGGAGCCGGGTCACGGCGCGGCCGCCGGAGGGGAGGGGGCGGCGGTGCCCGCCGGGGGTTTCTCACCTTGCCGCTGCGGCCGGGCACAGACGCGCGGCGGAGAGTTGAGCGTGGAGGAAGTTTGGGGGAGTAACTCGGCGGCTCTGTTTCGGGAGGGATTTTTATGTGTTCTTTTTTATTTTATTTCATTTTCTTGCCCGGCTCACAACTCCCTCAGCCGCTCGGGCAGCCCGCACGAGCAGCGAACGCAGTGCGGGCGGCAGGCAGAGCCGGGGAGGGCAGCAGCTCGGCGGGCACAGCCGCGTTTCTTCGCAGAGCCGCGGTCCCGTGCACAGCGGATCCCAATGCAACTGCTCATCCTCCTCCTCCTCTACGCCGTCGTCTGCGCGAACTTTTGCAGCCGTCAGGGCACCACCGCCCCTGCCCAAAGCGGATCTATCAGAGCCCTGCGCTCCTCCAACGTCAGGCGGGATGGTGAGTGTCCCTCTGCCTTCTTCATCCCCGAGGGCTCGGTCTGCGACGGAGCCCCGAGAGAGCGCCCCGAGGGCTGCCGGCCCGAAGCGCGGGTGGCCGGGCGGGGGGAGGGAGGGAGGTTTGGGCGGAGAGGTGGCTCTGCCCGGCGGCCGCTCCCGAACTCCTGGGGGCAACGTGCAGCAGCCGTCCCAGCGGCCCGCCTCGCCCTGACGGCGCGCACGCGGCGCGGTGTGCCCGGCCCGGCCCGAGCCCCTGTGGCCCCCGGGGCGGTGGGCGCTGCTCCTGCTGGGCGTTCGTCAGCTCCCGGTGTGCCTTCCTCCTTCTGGAGGACAGCCTTGACAGAGGGGCCTGGGCCCGGGACGGGCTATTCGCTGGGGTCTGTGGGGCAGTGCTCGCCGTTAGTGCCAACCACACTTGGCAGAGTGATGCCCAGTGATGGTGGGTGCTGAGGAGGGTGGCTGGACGCTGCCAGTCACTGAGGGCATGGTAGCATGGTAGGGACGATGGTGTTCTTCGTGTTCTAACATGGCACGTTGCCTGCTGTGAGCCGCCATGGCCTTGGCTGCTGAGATGCTGGCCAAACTGTGGCCCTGCAATGGATGACTGCGGGGCTGCAAAACGTTGGCACAACTGACATTCACCTTTGGAAACCGCTTGCTCATGATCAAAGAAGACCAATTCGTAGGATTTTGGAAGGGGAAGAGCCTCTCCTGTGGGATCTGCAGGTTGTGTTCCAGCACTGTGTGAAAGGATCTACTCCTGCTTATTGCAGCATAGCTCCTTCAGAGGAAAATGTGAGATGTTCTCCTGAAAAAGAGCAGAGTTCTGTTCAAGTCTTCAAGTTAATGTCTTTCAGTTGCCAGCATTTATATCTTTTGTAAATCCTTTTTAAGAACCCACTTACTTGAGTCATGTCCAAGATTGTACTCTGCATTTGCCAGTGTTTATTTTTCAGTGTGTATACAGTGCGTGTAATGGGTATACTTTGGAAGATGTTTTTGGTTCAGAGTTGGAGCCATATTGGACTTAGTAATCTTCTGTATACCTTTCCTTGTCAGTGCATGGTGGCATAGACGAGGTGAAGAACTTTTTTTTAAAATTGAGATAGCAGAACTGGAAACAAGACAAAATTGCAGTTACTTGGATCTTGGAAACCAAATTTAATCCAATACAAAATGTGTTTGCAATAAAAGCCCACATTCATTATTCCTGTTTCATTCTGTAAAATGGTTGTGCATTTTATCAAGCTTCATGACCCTGCCATCTTAACCTTCTCAAAAGGTTCAGAGTTACAATGTGTTGTGCTGTGGTCTTTTCTGCAGAGTTGGTGGAGAAATCTGTAATGCTTAATGTGAATAAAGTTTTCACGTTATTGGCAGTGTGATGGGTGTTTTGCTCCACAGAAGAAAACTTCCTGTAGCAAAATTTTTTTTTTTTTGGAGTGACTGAGAGAACAAGGCTGTGTGAAATGATTAGTTAATCACTCTTTTCCCAATTGTGGTCATCTATCTTTGCAGTTAAGCTCTGTACCCTGAAGGCTGTCTTTTACACCTTGTGGTGACTGAACCTTCTAGGTGCCAGGTGTGGCACCAGGCAGAGGGTTGTTTGGAAATGGCAGATCTCACTCTTGACTGACTCCACTGTGCTGTATGGACGGTAGCCAGGCTGGTACCTATGGACAGGAAGAAGTGAGCTGATGCAGAGTTCAGACAGCTCTGTCTGACAGTGGGGCATTATCCCTGTAACAAGCAGATAACACAACTTGAGGAAGACTGCGTGCAGACCTCCACTTAGACCCTGCCTTGCTCTCTACTTGCACTCAGGAGTTCTGTTTTTAATCTGCAAAGGACACATATTCTGATATGGCCAGTGGAGTTGGGCATCTGCTCATAGCATCTAAAGCAGTTCAGCAACCAACAGGCCTGAGTTTACTCCAGTGAACTAAACTGTCGCTTGAGTTTGTTGACCAAAGACCTATATTTGTGCCGCCAAAGGTTATGAACTGTTTTCCAAATATTGCGTGCATGAGACAAGCTCACAAGCAAAGCGTTCAGACCATAGCTGGCTGTACGCCACCAGAAGTATTTTTGTCTTTTACAATTTTCAGTGTTTTGTTTTGGTCTGAAGTGCTGATATGGAATTGCATTAAAGACATGTGGATTGCATTGCTGAGTGAGGCAGACAGTATTTTTTGCATTGTAAGTATTTGCAGATATGGTGATATGGAATAGGATCTAAGAGCACACAATATGCTGGGAGTAATGTGTTCCAACAGTCTCTCTCAAAATGCACAGCAAGTATAAAAACTAATTTAATATTATGTCCTGGGTTTGATGACTATGATTATTATGTTGTGCAATTAAGAGAGATACTGCAAAGGAAGCCAGATATGTTCAGCTCTCTAAAAAAATGTTCTATCTTGGCATGTCCAAGACCACCTGCACGTTTTATTAAAAAAGTAGACAATCCTTTGGATTTCAGTTTTTTGTTACCTCCAAGCAGGATAAACCAGAGGTACTGAATGCACTTAGCTGTAATTCGGAGCCTTGGTCTTGCTTCTGGCCAAAACAAATTTCTTCCTGTGCAAGATTCTAGATTGTCTTTCCTATTCTAGGTAAAGGAAGTTGGTCTGGTTCTAATTGCATTTAGTGCAGACTGAGATTGCTTTTGGAAGAAGTCTACAGATGAAGGGCAACACGTACAAAATCAGTCCTAATGATTGCCAAACCTGAACTACACTTCCTGCTGAAGATATTAAAAATATAAATAATCTGCTTACAAGACATCCTCTTGTCCTCGTGCAAGGACGGGCATTGATGATTCAGCTGTCCAGCGTAGCACTAATCAATATTTTAAAGCATTGTGGAGATGCCAACAACATTTATAGCACATGTAATGGTATTTATTTAAAGTCTTTATTAATATAATTATCTGTTAAGTCCTTTGAAATTTGTCAGAATCACACACAAAGGGCTTTGAGATGATATCCTTATCATCTTTACCTCAGTTTACCAAGTTGTAGTATGCATATAATTGTAGCTAATTGCAAGAAGTCTGATATTTTGGTTGTTTATGTGTACATGGAGGTGAAAAGTGGAGATGAAGAGTGCTAAATAATGTTTACTGTATGGTTTTCAGCTGAAACATCAGTTGTTCGCTGTTATCTGTTGTGAGCAAACATCTGTATGAACACTCAGTCTTAGAAATTATGCCTAATCTGTGTACTTATACTAAGCACCATTATGCCTATTTTCAACTGTAAAACCCAAAGTGTAAGTGAAAGGCGTAGTGTCAGATCATTTTAGTATGTAAACAACTGGAAGCCATAGGATCAGTATCTCCTGAAGTGGATTTGAAAATCCATAACATCAGACAACTTAAGTTTTTCTGAGTTCTTGTGATTTTTATTGTGAAATGAAAAATTAGGAGCTTTCAAGCCTTGGATTGCTGGTGTGCGAAAGAAATAGAAAGAAAAGTTATGTTTTACCACCCTGGAGAAACGGCAGGGGCTTTTGGCTATCCAAAGTGATATGTGCCCTCAAGGTTACCCTCCACTTCCAAAGAGTTTGACAATTTGGGCTGCATTCTCTCACCACATGGATGTTGTTTGCTCTTGTGAGAAGAAATGAATGAGTCTTTTCAAATACTAATTAAGAATGGCTAGTGTCACTAGTGATGTAGGAACCACAGTTCTGGAATACATTTAAAGTGTTCTTCTGTAGTGTAGAGTGCAAAAAACATTGCATACACGTTCCTTTTTTTTAGTAGAATCTGCTAACCTTGTGTCAACTGCAGAATAACTAAAATACCTTCCAAGCTTTATCACATTACCAAAAAATAAATTGAAAATTGTAATTTGCTGTAGTAACGCCATTTTTTCTTTGATTGTTTAACTTTGATGATGTCTCTTATCTGTAGAATTAACTGTCTGGACTAAAGAGTAACAAAGGATATCACATGAGAATCGCAACCCTGACTCAGCAGCAAGCACTTTGGAGCAGTTCTCCAATTGTGCACTGAAATGTATTTTGCTAGGTAGATGGATATCACATGGTGGAAGTTGCTTTACTTATAACTCTCCATCCATTCTCCTAACAGTTCCAGCTTCTCTTTAATATGTTTATTTGCATGAAACTTAGGCCAGATAATTATTAAAGGGCTTACAGAGAAAACTAGATAATTGTGTTGCTTTGATTCCTAGAAATGAAATACTGCTGACAATTGTGAAAATAATGTTGTTTTTTTTAAACTGTGGTCCCATTTTGTAAAGCACCTAGGAATAGAAATAAATAGGAAACTCATGCGGAATCATTAGTGAAGTAACATTCTTTGTGTGCTTAACTTTGTGGATCTATGTAATTCCATTAAGGACTGGAGGCTGCATCCTAGAGGATTCTATGATAGCAAAGCTTGAATAGCTCATATGAGAATGTGGCTATGTGCAGCTAAACTTACTGTGCCTTATGAAGCAAGAGTACAGCTATGTCAGATCTGTCTGATATTCTGTTAAAATAAGAACACATACATGCAGTACTTGTGTATCATATTCATATTATGTGTAGCATACACAAATATATCCTGTACCTTTTTCATAATGTATCGGTTATATGCTCATACATAATACATAGGCCCGATGACACGAGAACGGAGCACACAGTATAACTGGTTACCAAATTAGCATTTTAAATTTAAATATGTTATGCCCAGGAACCTTGTTTAGAAAATAATCCCATGCAGGTTTCATGTGACTTTCCAAAGTCTGCTGAACAACAAACTGCTAGGCAGAAATTCCAACCAAACTGTTCCGTGTAGTCGAGGTTCTTTTTACATGATGTCATCAGCCATATCATCTATGGAATTTGACTTGTAACCAACAGATACTCTTAAAGGTGTTTATCAACTGTCCAGGCTGCAAGTGGAAGTTCTGAAGTTCTTTACGTGCTGATAATTTTCTTATCAATTAAGTAAAAAATATATAGGGAAAGGGATTGTCAAAACCA